CTATTTTCACTGTGCTCTCTCACCACCCCCCACCCCACCCCCCAATCCTACTCTATGCATTTTATGAGGGGCCCCTCAATTTCTGTGATCCAATCTTCTCCTTCCTCAGCCCCATTCCCGACAACAGCGTCACCCTCTCCCTCCATACCTTTGTAACTAGGTTAAGGATCAGCTTGCACAGGCAAGCTGCGGTCCCGCAGGCTATTCAACACTAAGGGCCTAATCTACACTCTGCTGAAATCATAGTCTTTAAAAGGTTCAGTAGGTTTCGACCAACTTCATTGAGCTTAGAGGCAAGGCCCTGTAAGAGGCATTACTAAACCTGCCCCAGTGCACAGCGCGTTACACTCTGTAACTTGCGATTTTTGCAATACAGCACATTTTTTCTACAATTTTAAATATAACACAGTCCTACTATTTCTCCTGGGCGCTCTGCAAGTGGCATCAAGTATCCCTAGATGTAAAAGTGATGGGGTTTTGGGGGAAAAAAAAAGGCATGATATTCAGTATTGATATTTATATAACTGGGAAAAGCATTGCTTGCAAAAGAAGGCAAAGACTATATAATTTGTAATGTGTGGGGTGGGTTTTTGTCTTGATAAGCAGTATACGTTGATGCAGGTAACGACTCTCCTGGGTGCAGCTGAATGGACAAGCACAGCTTTGCTGTGCATTTCTGCTTTACCAAATATGCACAAACTTAAGCCTGTGGTCTTGTGGGGCTGGGTTTTTTTTTTTAGTGGTTGTTTTTTTTTTTTTTTTTTTTTAATGGGACCAAAATAGCATAGTTCATAAGGCAAGCAACAGCCAGGCCTTCTAGCTTTTGGTTTTACGAACCTCCCTATGTTTATTCCATCAAGGAACAAAGGAAAGAAACATCCAAATCTGGGCCTTTTTGGCCGGCCGATGCCAGGAGCGTGGTTAGGAGCTGTGGGAAGGCATCTCTGCCTGCTGTCCTCCACTCGTAATGACGGAAGGCTTTGACCCGGCCACATCTCTGCTTCTGGAGGGAAAAGCAAAGCCTTCTCTGAGGGCTATTTCAGCTCCCAGGACCCTTGGGCTGCCCCGGCTGTCCTAGCAGCTGCCCAACGAGCATTTCTGCCTTTCACATCCTCTTCCCCTGCTTACACAGTCTACAGCTAGTAGTTTCCTTTTTTTTCTTTCTTTTTTTTTTTTTTTTTTTTTTTCTTTTTAATCGCAGAAAGGCCTCCCCGCCTAATCTAATTCCCGCTCCTTTGTCACAAGCAGATGTCACTTTTACATCTGTGCGTCTGCTCAAGCTCCCTGTCTCCTCCAGCCCAGCAGATGTTGCCGCCGCCGAGGCAGCAGCGGCCAGGGCGGGGGGAGAAAGCAAAGCACAGATCCCTCTGCTGGCGGCCGCCCAGGCGCCGCGCCCGGGGAGGGGGCAGAGAAAAACAGGGACATCACCATCATCATCATCATTATTATCATCATTATTATTATTTTATTATTATTATTGCAAATCTCCACACCCCCCCGTCCCATCTGATCACGCAGCAGGAGACCAGCCAAGAGCGCATCCGGCCGCCCGTCATCCCGAGC